AGCTTCACTGACAAAGATGCGAGTTGTTTGGGAGAAATACTAACACATTAGTGGAAAATGACGGTATTAGGTGACTTTTTACGTGATGTTATTTAACACAAAGATGCTATTTATTAATGGAAGGGCAGAAGGTGATTAAAACAAGAGAGCTAGTTTAGTCTTTAAAACAGACAGCAACGGTTTGATGCTAACATGTTTGTTAGATGTCAGAATTCTGAGGTAAAGGTCAGAATTCTGAGAATAAAGTCAGAATTATATGAATAAAGTCAGAATTCTGACTTTTTTATTATATTATACTGAAATTAAATTTAAAAATCTGTTAACTTTATTTTTTATTTTTTATTTTTACAGTGGTCCTAATCCTCTTCCATATCTTTATCCAAAAGTCCTCAAGTGAAAAGTTTTAGTTTCACCTGGTTTAATTTCACAATAAGCCTTCTTTAATTAACCTTTTGCTACCTGATTATTAATCGATAAATCGAAAAAATAATCGACTGATTAATCGATTTGCTAAAAATCCTTAATTGTTCATTTTATACCTCACCATTGAGGCACTCTGTGTGGGTCTCTGGTTTACAAAATGATAACCTAAAATGTTCTTTGAAGACAGTGCACATAATGACTGTTAAAGTTATTTCCACTGTTAATTTACGCCCAATAACTTCTTCTTCTGTCTGGTTTCTACTGGCGGGTAACGTTGAGTTGTATTAGCGCCATCTACTGTGCTGGAGTGTGGACCAGAGTATCTCCCTTTAATCTAAATTCTTATAAATAATCTCCTTTCCTTCACAAATTTTAAAACTGGTTTATTTATTACCCAATAACAACTAACACTCTGAAACCGTTACACATCCAGTGATCTTACCAATATTTCCCTCAATAGAAACTCTCCTCACCGGCGATGCAGCATCCTTAGATGAAATCGAGTGCTTTCTTAAGGAGGAAACATTTGGATCCCTTGTGTTTTTATTCATAACACCGCATGAAGTTGTCATTTCTCTCAGGATGAAGCAATTAGATGGTTTCCTCCGTGATGATGCAAAGATCCAGAGCTGTCTCAGACCTCTCACTGTTACAGAAACATGAGGTAACAGTGCAGCCATTGTGATTAAACTAAAATAAAACAGCGAACATTTTTCTTCCGCAGTCGTTGGTCTGTCTGTTATTAACCACTTAAAACATCCCCACGAGATTAGTAGTTCACGTAAACTAGCCCCACCTCCGCACTCTGACGTAACGTCAACTTTCTGTGCAAGAAAGCCGAATATCTGCTAAAATAAAATGTCTTATCAAATTCTATATTTCAGTCTTTCAAATATGACTAAACTAGAGTTTCGCAGAATGTTCACCTTGTGAATTCAATTCATACCATGTGATCAGTTTAGTTCAGAAACGAAGATGTACTTCCGGTTTAACATCCTGCACTTTCAAAATAAAATACTCTCAAATAATATTTTATGTAATATTTTCCTTAAAATGAGTATTTCTTGGTATTATTTGTTGATGTGAAAATGCCGAGTAAGTGATGTCGCTCAAAAGAGTTGTCTGAAAAACTTAAGAAACTTTGTTAAAAAAAAAAGTAAATAAAACAAATGCAAAAATAAATAAAACAAAAAGTTAATTTGGTCTAAAAAAAATCAGTATCTCTAAATTTTGCATTCAATTATTTCTTGATATCTCTAAATAACTTAAGTGCAACTGATAAACTTTAAAAGTTACTTAATTAGTTGAGTGTCCAGCTGTGTGGTTTTATTTCAGTGATAATCCAATTGTTCTGTAAAGGCCTGCCATTTTTGATAGAGAACCTACAGAGTTACAGAGATCAAGGAGCATGGCAGACAGGGCAGAGATGATGTGAAGAAGTTTAAAACTGTGTTAGGTTATAAAATCATATACCAAGCTTTGAACACTCAGCCTACTGTTCAATCCATAGTCTAAAAATAGACAAATTTACTAATTCACAATCTGTCCACCTAAAGGGACAGAGAGTTATAAGACATTGTTGGATACTGTGGAAGCAACACAAGTCTGGCATTTATAGTTTCAAGAAAACACTTTGCCCCTACAGGGTTACATAGTAGTTGTAGGATCATGTTGTATGCATGCCTTACTACATAAGACAGAAGAAAAACTGTTACAGCAACACATGCAAAATGCTTGAAACTTGGGCAGAGGTTCACTTTGAAGTAGAACTTTGAACATACGGTCTGAGCAACAATAGCATGGATTCAATTAAAGCACAGCCGTGTGTTAAAATGGCCAAGTCAGACCATAATATGATTATGAATGTGTGGTAGGAACAAAAAGTTGCTGTACCTGTCTTAACCCCAGGGTAAGTCTACATTTTAACCCAGGGGACAAGGGTTCAGAGTGAGGTTGCATGAGGAACAGCATCCAGTGTAACAACTCTGCAACTGTCATTATCTGCCCTTATAGCTCACCTTAATTGTTCATATCATTCACCTGCTTAAATTTGCCCGGTTTTGTAATTATCACTCATCTCATCCACCTGCGTCTGTTCCTTTGTATTCGGTTCAACCCGAGCTATCGGGGCCAGATCATTGTTTGCTATCTCTTTGTTTATGCCTGTTAGTTTGTCTGTTTAACACTAGATGTCCCAGAGAATTTCAGTTTTCCTGCAAGCCCCCCTCCCCTCTTCAAGTTTGTGTATTCACTCTACCTTGCTGACTGTCCTCGTTGTAAAGTAAATACCCTCTGATATGACCAGCCCTTCTACATGAGACTGGATAAAGGCTGAAACAAACTGGCATCAGAACAAGAGCATTTTTTCCAAACACTTTTCATTACCTTCCCCTGCAACATCAGACCTTTTTGCCGGAATATCTTGATAAGTCATGTCTAAATCTTTTAATTAGGCAATTAGGCAAACCTATTGAACAACCAGATATCATACAGGTCCTAGTTCCTAAGCTGAGAACAGGTCATAACCATGCTTTTCCAACAAGGCAAGGCAGAGCCTATTTATATTGTCCATTAGCCAACAGACTCATTTATATTGCAAAGCTCGGTATGTGAAAGAAAGAACAACTAAGAGAATAATTGTATTTTGTCTTGTCTCGCCTTTTCATGTCATTCAACATTTCAGCTTAGAAAATGACAAACAGTATGATTTCATTGGAGTAACATTTATTCCACCCAAGGAAAAGCACTACATATGAAGCTACAATTGTCCCATTTAGCAGTTTTTACAAACCCAAGGTGAGTCCTTCCTGCATTTGTGACACTTATACTTTGTGCAGTGCACACAATGCTCAGTGCTGTGGTTCCTGTTGCAGAGATTGCACACCTGGCCTGCTTATAATAACAATGAAAAATGTAAAAAATAAAATAGAGTTTAGCACATATTCTGATAGTAAGAGTTGTAGTATGAACTAGATGAGGTTATCTATGTGTGCTACAAGTTTGGCTGCACTACAATGATCTAAAGTGTAATTATTTGCTATTATATGCTTATAATAACAATGAAAAAAAAAAAGAGTTTTAATGTTAATTAGTTTTAGTGTTAATTAGTTTAGTTTATACCATGGTTCCTGTGCTGGTAACTGATGGCCAGCGGATGAGAGGGTTTTTATGTTAAAACATTTTGAACTTTTCTACTGACTGCCTCGCCTTGAATACTGGGTCCATCTGTCCAATTTTATGACAGTAACAGTCTGAGTGGTTGTATTGCCTGAATGTGAGAGCAGCCAAAGAGAGACACGCACACTTAAATGTTGTCCACAGATGTTACCTATCCTCTCTGACAACATTTGAAGTATATTTCCAAGACAAGAAAAAAAAACTTCAGCGTCTAAATATTCAAAGTTTATAATAGACAAACTCAGCAAAAAAGGTGGTTATTAAGCAAAAAATAAAATAAATCACAAATATATACTACACCTAAAAGAAATTAATGGTTCTCTGTCTTATTAAAGACTACTATGTTGATATATCTCATAACATCCAAACAAAATACAATTAGGATTGTGTCTGCAACATCACAAATGTAAATAGATTGAAGGAATCGCAATAGTTTTGGAAGGCCAGATTGCATCACTTAATATTCTCGTAACGAAAATGTAACAAAAATATACCATAGTCTTCAACATGCATCAACTTTATTTTTGCTTAAAGAGAACACAAACACACTCAGCCATGATTTAAATTTAATTTATGCCATATTTAACAAAATTGGGAATACTAACTAAACACAACATTTGCATTTTATGGTAATGAAATAAAAAATATTTAGAGCAAAGCCATTAAAGTAGTAGAAAATTATAATTGCATTCTATTAATTAATGAACAATAACAAAATAGTAGCAGACGATTTATCTCTATTCCCAGATTGAAGTAGTAATAGAAAACATTTGGAAGTAAGGAATTTCTATATTGCAGTGGTTAGAGCTGCATCATCAATAACTTGTGTTTTTGATGGTGATCTTTTGCGCAAAGTCAATCTTGAAATCACCAACACCTAAGGAAATGAGGCATAATGTTTATCAACTGGAGGAGAAATTGACACAGAATAGTGAGTACTGTTACAGAGTGTCAAAGCAACAAGTGTGATTCCTCACCTTGAGTGAGAGCTGTGCCATCAGAAGAAAGGAGCCAGTATCTGCGGTCGCTTTGCCTCGCCTGCTCCCCATTTATTGCACTTAAGAAAGGTCCCCACTGACTGGATTCCTTCTGGAATCTACAGCATCAGATTTTAGTCACTCCAGCTGGTTTGACAGAAAATGACTTACTGCGGCTCATTAAATAAACTTACGTGAAGCCCACATCCCTCCTCTCAAGCAGCTCCAGGGCCTCCAGCAGGGAGCTGCCCTTTGGCACGTCAACAGAGTAGGCAGCTGCTGCTCCACTGGCTGTCACTACTTCCACAGTCACCATCACTTTGGTGTCACTTGTTAAAACCACCACAGGATCTACAGGCTCCAGCACCAATGTGTCTGCAAAAGAGCAATTACATCAGGAATAAACAACAACACCCATAAAAAAAAAAAAAAAAGGATGAAACGATGCTGCACACACCATCCTCATTAAGGCATTCCAGAGTTTTTATGGACAAATAGGATTTTCTCTGGAGAGCTGGCAGAGTCTGAGAAATGGCCATGGGGTTGTGGTATGTGTTGCTTCTGGCAGCTGTTCTCATGGCATTCATTGAGGCAGCACACTCTCCAACCTCACTGCCCATGGCCAGTAAAGCCTTGAATGATTAAATCAGTAAATCAAGCCAAAAACAGAGGATTTAATGTTATTAGAAGAGACAGGGACAGGAAAAAGTACAGGACACAAGTGACTTCTAACCTGGACTGCAAGACCCGTGCTGAACTCATTCCCAATATGACCATCGGCTCTACGAGAGGCCAGTATCTTCTGCTTGATCTGGCTAAGAGCTGTGTCCAGCTCTGCTGCATTGTGTGCATATGACCCAGAATCCTTCACACACTGGAGGGCCATTCCAGCCATAGCATAGGTATCTAGGAGGTAAGAAAATGCTGAATTACAAGTCAAACTGAGCCTTTCAAAGGGCTACGGCAAAAACACATTCTGGTCTACATGTTGCTAATATATTAACATTTCAAAGAATTAGGTGCAGGAATTAATGTAAAATGTTGGGCTGTTTATGCCATTTCGTTAAAATAATTGCAAAACATTTAAAGCTTGACAATAATTCATTTAACACAAGATTTTGGGAGATTATATTTAGTCCAACAATGTTCCTATGAAGGAAAATGAATACTGTATATGCAACTCTAGTCATTATTCAAGACATATGGAGAGGACATAATGTTGCTGTTAAATTCGGGAAAGTATTTAGGACATTTTTAGTATTGCAGTCAATTCATTTCCAGCACACCTAATCACTTTTTAAGTTATGCATAAAAATACAGTTTTCCGTAAGATCTCGGTTGTTCCATGATTTCTAATGTGTAATGTCATTTTGCACTATAATCATGGCTGAACATTCTTAAATCCATTTATGTTTAAAAACATCTTGCACGTTATTTTGCACTGACATGTTTGATCATTCTTCTGCACATAAAAAAGCAACAACTTTGTTTTACTGCTGCAATTTATGATTTATATTGTATGGTTATCTTATAATTGCAATCTCATTACATAGTTGTAAGATGTATGCAATCGAATTTTGTTTTGTATGCAGTCTGTGCTAACAAAATGACAGTAAATGATCATTATCATGAAATCATTAATTAAATTATTTTATTTATTATTATTTACTATTATTTAATTATATCATTAAATAATAATAATTCTTATTACTGTACCTCTGTTGAGTCTATTTCAATCATTTGCAACCTCTCTGAAAACTATTGCTTTGCTAAGAAAGAAAATGACCAATGTTTGGAAAAATCTTGTTAGAACAGCTGAACTTTATATCAAGTTGATCAGATTGACTTTATATAATTCTTGAATGACAAAAAGCTTAAGCTGAAGCAAAAATAAGCTGGAACAAAGAATTTTAACTGAGAATAGGAAAAAAGGAAAGTCGGGATTTTTTCAGCTTTTTTTTTTCAAACAGTCTATTAATTGAATCATGGCTGTTACATTTTGTATGCAGTTTTGAAATTGTTAATCAAGTCTATTCAATTATACAACTAAAAAAAAGCAAGTAGTCTAAAGATCTGTAACAGTTCAGATTTTGCATTAACTCACCAACACTTTGTGTTTCTCCATGTTTGAACTGTTCGTTCTCAGCTGCTTTGATGAGCTTGTGGCTGACATGGTTGTTGACCCGTATGCCGCTCACACAGAGAGCGAGCACACCAAGGCTGTACTGGTAATAGTTGGTCAAAGGGCGATGGCTGACTGCAAGAAGACAGGGAAGTTAAATGACATATAAAGGAGTTTTCCTTACTAATAACTACAAAAAAAAGAGGTGTCCTATTTTTTGATAAATGTTATGTCCAGTTAAGCTTTAATAAGTTAGTAGGAGTCCTGTTCTTGGATAGCATTATCTTTCTGAGAAATCCACACCAGTGAAGTCTGACTTCATCTCAAAGGACCGTTCTGCAAATGTTTTATAATATCTGACACTTCGAATGGAAATCTTACAAGCGATGTGATCTTTCTCCTGCTCCATCTGCCTCTTTAGGTGTGTCAGCAGTGTCTCGCTCTTGTCATTTATGATGAAGGTGATGGTGTTGAGGTCATAACAGGAGGACTTCAGAGCCAGAGCATACAGTGCCATAAGGCCACTCACAGCCTGGCTGTGTGTGAGGGAGCTAAAACAGAGCAGGCAATGTTAAATACAGCAGGTGTTAATATTTTCACACAACAGCGATAGAAAAATAGGTAATCTAAGTGGAAAAGTACGTTTGAATGTTATCATGCAGTTCATTTTTCAGTCTATTGAGGTGATCTGTCTCCTTGGCTTGATTGTGGTGAGGAGAAAGACGAAGAGCCAGGTGGATGCTGGGATTGGGAAGTCCTTCCTGACTTTCCAGAGAGCGAAGAAGATTCTTGTTAAGTGACAGAAACAGCTCTGGGTTGGATCCTTGGGTATCTGGAACAAAGATCATTTGCAAATAAGCATATTATAGGGACGTCTCTGCATTGCTGCTGACATCGACAAGAAATTTTAAAGCAGTAAAACCCACAGTAGCTCCATCAGCAGTTAAGAGAAAGTGCATCCGGACTAAAATACAAAATAACTTTGCCCAGATAAATCTCAACCAAATAAGCTTGAGCGCAAAGCAAAAATACTTAATTTACAATCTGCTGTTTGTGACTGTTATTTATTAAACACAGAGGATTCTAACAGTTCTCTATGGGATTCTGCAGATGGTTCCTTTCTTTGTCAGTGCTGAGTCACAGGTGCATCATCCAGAGCTGTAGAACCGATGCACTGTGGTGCAACATTGGAATATAGTAGGGATGTTTTGATATTTCTAATTTTATGAGCAATGTTAGACACAAAGTAAAATACACAAAGCCTAAAAGGCCAAATTATGACACGAGGATTCAGCACCTACTGGCCAACTTCCTTGCGTCCAACTGACCTAACTTCTCTCTGTTATCTTTTCTTGTTGAGCAATGACATAATAGCCAAGGCTCCACCACCAAGCGCTCGGCTACAAGCCTCTCCTGCTCAACCTGATCCTGTTTTTACAGTAGGTGATGATGGAGGGCACAGAAGATGGAAGAAAACTTCCAGGCTTTTCTTGCAAAGGACACAAATCAGAGAGTCAAAGTTTTGAAAATTGCGAAATCTGAGAAAATCATGGCTTGCATCATAATAAAGACAGACACACACCCATCAGGACTTTGCACTGACTTACATTTATTTTTAAACCTTTATTATGCCTTAACCTAACCATTACGTATCATACATAATCTTAACCTATTCATATTTCAATCCTTAATCTTAAATCAAATCCAGAGCCACACACTCAGAAAAAAAGGACCAGAAAACTATCATCATTTCATCAACATATATTTACAAAATCTACTCACCACATGGTCTGCTGGAGGCAGAAGCCAACAGTCCTGTAATAGTTACTAAAAGCAGCATCCTGGCTGTTTAAAATACAAAGAAGAAATTAAATAGCATCATAGACATAGCATCAAAGGATTGTACACTAGTCGAATGCTATAACATGAAAATATCAAAAAATAGATGCAAACATTATGATCATCTAAAAGACATCACTCTAACAGGAATGTCGCAATGGGTTTGCAGTTATTAACAAACAAAGCTGTAAACAGTAGCTCAGTACCTCACTGACTGTCCACTGCGAAGAATCAGAGCTGAGTGAGGCACAAACTGAGAGAAAAATGCTTACAACGCTTCGGTGTCACATGATCCGTCATTTGAGATGACACAACTTTTTAAGAGTTAAAGGGTTCACTGTGTCTTTAAACCAGAACATAAACAGGAAGTTAAAAAAACGCATGCGACAATCAGAGGATTGTGATTGGTTGGATTTGGAAACACGTGTTAATCTGAGCCAATCAATGTGAGAGTTGAACGGCTAACGTTTCAAAGTTAAAGACTTAAATCAGCTGCTGAAATTCTATTAAACAACCATTAGTCGTTTAAACTATTAATATGGAATAGGATAACCTATTTATACAACAGTTTTTTTTTTTTTGATGGACTCTATATAGCTCGTGTTTGTCAGGTCTAACTACATTTCCCATGATTCCCCTCTGCGTCTAAACGTAGCGGACGCACATTCTAGAACCTTGACGACTCTTCCAGCGTAAGTATTTTTTTTATCCGACGTTGTGTTGACCCGTCCTACTTTTAAAGCCAACACCAAGAAGGCATTGTCACTGCGCCGTTGCTGTCGTTTATATTTTCATGTAAAAGGTTTCTGTTTTTTCCCCCACCTGCTAATGGGAATTTAAAAAAGAATAACCCTGAAGTGTGCGGAGAAGAGCTAGCTAAACACGCGACAGCAACACAAATCGACGAGGGGGCAGGGCATGTTTACAGGTCAGTTCTAAAACTGTTTCATTGACTTGTACGAAGATATAAATAACTTCATTGAGGATTTTTTAATTAATTTTCATCGCCTGTTTGGATAGTGAGAGAGAAACCTAAACTATAACCACATAAAATGTATATTAGAGATCGTGTTGTTGCTTGTTAATGGCAGCCAACCTTCCAAAAGTGCGTCCTGCATGTTGAAAAGATCACCTTTAACCCTTCAGTATTTGCTATCAATTCTTATATTTCAGATCGGCCCTTTTTGTGATCTTCATGCTCAGCCTCTCCCCTCGGCCAGTGAGCTGGGGTATCTGCCTGCCATGTTTTCATTTTCAGGGCCCACCAGTCTTCCTGAATTTGACTTTGGACCCCCACATTCCTCTGACAGCCTTCACAGACACATCAACTCAGAGAGGTATTGCACTGATTGTGATGTTGGCTGGATTTTACCTTCGGCAATTTGCCAACAATCCAACAAAAATGCAGACTTTTAACTTTGACCTGATTCATGTTTTTGTTTTTCTTCTCCATAGCAGCTGGGAAACCAGACGCCTTAGGAAGCATCGGAGACTAGAGGATGAGTAAGTGAATGATACTGGTATCCATTAAACTTTTTTTTAATGACATGTGAATGCACAAATTGTGTTTTAATGTGACATGATGTTTGAATACTTTTGCATGGAATGATGTGTGACATCTGATTTTCACCCTGTCAGGGGTTGCAGTGCCAAAAAGCGGAGGCTAATGCCCGAGACAGATGTGGACATTTTGGAGAACAATTGTTCTGCCTTGTCTGCACAACAAGTTGCTGTTTCTCCTGCGCAGCCATGCTCAGCTCTTCAGACCCTCTCTATGCCTCAGCCCTCTTCCCTCCGGCCCCAACCTGAGATGGAGAGCTCCTGCATGGAGATCGAAGCAGCTCACAGGAAACTGCAGGAAATTGAAGACCGGTAAGGAGCAACTTTTCCGCCTGGTTTTCTAATGAAATTTAGAATGCATAAGTATTTATTTTGCTGTTCCTGATTTTGTTGTGTAAAAGTTAGATAATGTAGGAGGAGGAAGCTAATTTAGTGCCTGTTCAGGTTTAAATATTTTAAATGGTTCTGTGCTAAGAAATGTTATACTTTAGTAATAAATTAGGAAATTCAATCTAAACTGTTATTTGTGTCATATATGATTTTGGAAAGTGGATGGAATTATTGACGTATCTGGACATAGAACTGTCATGTTTCTTATCAACTAATTATTCTTTCATTTGGGTGTAATTATATTTTGCCATCAAATGAAATTTTTTTCTCCGTTAAAAATATTGATAGACTAAAAACAGATCAGAATAAAATTAGACTTTCAGTTGTCCAAAACCACTAACCCTTTCCCTTGCATGCTTAGTACACTGTCAGGTCTGCAGACTAAAGTCCAAATCGAGTGATTAATTAACTTTTTTTAACTTGGATTCTAGTAATATACATATTTACTTTTGAGTTCACAACATACTGATGACGGATATGGCTGTGTTTTGCTAATCAGTCTTGATATTTGTTTTGTTGGGTCCAGGACTGTGCACTTTATTTATCTATTTTGGTTTTAATATGTTGCAGAATAATCCTTGAAGACGACGATGAGGATCTTGACTTGGAGCCAGCTCCAAGACGGCCGGTCCTGGTGATCTCAGACAGTTTAAAGGAAGGTCTCCAGCGGGGCCTCAGCGATATTCTCCCACAAACAGTGGCCCAGTCTGTGTATGTGCATCTCAATAAACTTCATAATCCTTCAGGTTTGGATGCAGTAGTGAGTTCAGCTCATCACGTGTTATCATGTGTTTCTGTTCCTGAACAGAAAGTATCCTTTCATCACATTTGCCCCCAAGGAAATTTATGAACTAGTGGATTTGGTCAGTTTAAGAACAAGTAATTTGGGAAATTTACAAAAATACCTCAACTATATTAATTTTATTGCAGATTCTAGGTGTGTCATACATTTGGCACGGCTTATTTTGAGGTGTGTAAACACATGTGTATCTGACCTGTTATTAATTATAGTTCTTTTTCTTCTAGTGAATAAAACAATTTTAAAAAGAAAGTCCAAAACTTGTTCCATGTTCAAATCCCCCCTGCAGCACAGCTGAGTGATTAGCAAAAAAAGACAGCTTCAATTTTCAGGATTTTTGTTTACAAGGTAGTTCCTTTAAAAAAAAAAAGTATAGCTTTAATAAATGGTCTTAAATATACTCCGATTCTCCTTTGTAGGTCATTGCATTTTCCATTAACCCTTGTATTATTTATGGTAAATACAGTGCTGGTAACAATTCTGTGATTTCTAGCTGTGGTTCACCTCAACCGGCTTTTAGAAACCTATAATGCAGGTAGCAGTCAATCACTGTCGAGATGCATTTTATCCCAATAATTCAAAGTTCACCTACTGAAATAAACAAACAAAAAAACATATTTTTTTCTGATTATCTACTCTTTAATAATTGGGAAGAGTGAAACTAGGCAGTTAGGGCTAAAAAAGCTTCTATTGTTTTAAAAGTCACAATAAAATGGTACAGTGGCATTTTAGTTATAAATAAGTAATTTCGCTTCATTTCATGATGTTTTAAGTTAATCTAAATTTTATAAAACCCTATCTTTAAATATTTACTTGGAATGAAAACCTACGGTTTTGGTGAAGGAATCTGCAGACTATAGCAAGGTCCAAACAAATATTTTTAGGATCTTTTGAGATCCGTTTGAAAGCATTGTGAATTATGATAAACCTTCATTCAATAGTAAGAGATGACTAGAAGTTGTTGCTACATTTTCCCCTCACCTTCTCCTTCCTGTCGCCCTCAGGAGTCCTTCAGGCATGGAGCTGGTCCTGTGGCGTCCTCCAGAAGATCCTTTCTGTCAGAGGTTAAAGGACTCGTTACAGAAACAGCGTAAACAGACAGTTTCCCGGCAAATACCAACTCCCTGTACGTCTCCCACGCCTCCCCTCAGCCCCTCCAGTCCGCCTGCAGAGACATGTTCCCCCATGCACAGCTTCCCTGTGCTGCAGAGCTCAGCTGAAGAAGACATGGAAATTTAAACCAACATGAATAAATAAGCTGGAGAGTTTGTGTTCTGATCTCTTGTTGATCCTGTGTTCTATTTGAGGAGTTTGTGCAACATTCATTCGCCAATGTTGGGTTTGTTTTCTGTGGACAGATACGTGAGGATTACATTTAACAGTGTTATTGGTGTAGGCCGAATCTTTTGAAGCCTGTAGATTCACTGCCTTACTAACACTCACTTTGAAATTAGAAGCCTTTTGTACATATTTCTGACCAGCAGCACATAGATGTCTTGTAAATATGACTTATGTTTTTGTTGAACATGAATATGAGTGCAGCACCAAGGTCTCTGCAAACTTTTAGGGAGTCGCTACAGAACACTAAGAGCCTGACTTCCTGTTTGCTGTTACATTGTGATGGAGGAGTCATCCTCCTCTGTTACAGGTATACTGTCTGTGAACTTTGACTTTTCAAATGAACTCAGTCGTTTTGTTACAGAGGACTGATCATCTTCTGGTGCAGATATTTAAAACATCTGTGATTTTTTTATTACCTTGTAATTAATTCTATGTCATTTTTTTAACGATTTGATTGATTTTTGCAAATGTACATTGCCATAAAGGGTTGCTGCTTTTGTTTTATAATAAAAAAAAAAAAAAAACATTTCTTGGACAAAATTTTCCAAACGATCTTTAAGGTTTTTGTCGGTCTGAAGTAGATCCTACTTTAATCAAAATTTTACATTTGGATTTCACACTAATTATCCAGCAAGGTAATATAAGTTTCTCAATTAAAAAAGTTAATCTTGTTTAAGTTATAATTTAGGTGGTTATTTTTATAATTTAGATAATTAAGGCTTAAAGCTAATTAAATTCCACATCCAGTTTATTAGAAAATTAGAGAAGATTGCCAGGAAATATTTTTTGTACATATAAGAACAACCATTAGGAAAACTGCTGACTTCACAGTTTGCTTTGCAGCAGACTGTTGGTGACCTCATCAGCAGGATAAGCCTAAAAAGCTTTATATATATATATATATATATATATATATATTATACTAGATTGCAGACACCTTGATTTAATATGTCAGTTTCGTCACATTGTCCATTTAAATCCGTTTATTTTTTGTTCTGTTGAAGCATGGTTGAAAAAAAACGTCTGACTTTTATTCATTCATTCTTTTACAATTATATTATTATTACTTTAGTCGGATCTACATTATTTCTGTTTTATCTTTCATTAAATGAAGGGGTACCAACAATTTTGTTCATGTGTTAATATCACTCTGGTTTGTGAAATCTAATATAAAACAGTCATTTTGTAAACGGAATTACTGGAAATAATTTACTTTTTGATGAAATTTTAAATAACGAGTACATTGTACATAGCTAGGTTTACTTTAACACAATATGCTCTTAAAAAAAAGTCTGAAATATGAATTTGGTTAATTATAGAAAAAGAAAATAGAACCTGGAGCAATTTTTAATTTACAGAATATATTTATTACCCTGCTCTCTGGACGTTAAAAAGTGAATTTCGAAAAATAATGTAAATATTCCACCTAAATTGTTATTAGGCATTTTATATATAAAATATCAAGACTTGGATTTATCTTTTTGGTTTAATCTGATGGTTTTAGAGTCACAGACTAAAAGCTTCACCTGCATGCATGTTTCAGGCCTAATGTTTATGTAGATAGATCATAAAACATTATGTGTTATGATCTACAAAAGGTGAGAACTCTGTCCTATTTAGACAATAATCTTAAAATAGGTTGACATCTTTTGGAATTGCTGTTCTCTAATGTTTTATTTGTTAATCATTTAAAAACTGCTTTCAAGGGTGTTTCCACATTTAGTCTTTGAATTTGCACAATTATCTGCTGTATATTTATGGTGAGGTTTTGAATAATTATTCTCTATACAATTTGCCTTTGCTAAACAGCAGTTTTGTATCAGCCTCTTATCATTTGACATCTTGAGAGCAGCAACAAGCCTGATGATCTATCAGTAATAAAAAGGTCTAAAAATAGATGGATATAGTATATTCAAAACAGCCTTTATATATTACATTTATGAAAACTTCAGTGGTTTGATGACATATGAAGAAATCATTCTCAGTAATGAAAAAAAACATGTCAAATGTAAAGAATGGTTAATAGCTACAAGCAGATACATTTAATTTATTTTTCAAAAAACATTTCTAAATCAAACACAACTGCACATTGTGAAAATACCAATTGTTATTTAGTTTGAATTTGGCAAATAAAATTAAATATTACACAAGCGATTTCCTCAAGTACAGGACAGCTTTATTAGCTTATTTAACAAAAGTCAGATGATTTTGGTTACAGTTCACCACTCATTCACAGTTCAGTTTCTCAACAGGTCATAAAAGAGAGTGAATGAGAGTTCATGAATGTGACCTCATTGCCTCATGCCGCCTCATGTCACGGTGACCTGCTTTTTATTCTTCTATCACATGTAGATGTAATAGGATGGCTTTAAAATATGTGAAAGATAATATAAATACTATATTCATAGAAGGATAGCCCAAAGGATGTTTTAATATGGGATTTAATTCATACTTTGCTCCTCTTAATTTGTAAGCAAATGGTGTCCCTTTCTTTCCTCCTCACAAATATTTGTGTTGGTCATCATAATATCCCAATTAAAAATATCGATTTTCTAGAATAATGACATTTCTCAACACTTTACACTAGATCTAGTTATAGGAGCCACGTGTTCACACTCATAAATACATCTGTAGGCAACTTGGGATTAAGTGTCTTCTCTGAAAGCATTTCAGTATGTTGCACGAGGAAGGTGTTATTGAACTCACAGCTTTTGGGTTGCTTTACCAATTACGCCACAGCCACCAAGTCGGTCATTAAAGTAACAAAATACAGAAAAGTCTAAGGGGTGTACATAGTTTTGCTTTCAACAGCACAGCTTTTTACATGCAGAATCATATAGCCTTTAACCTCTACTTCAGAAAGTTTCTGTTCAGCATGTCTGGGACGACCTGATTTTCTATCAGGAGCTGCTTCACTCTGCTCTGCAGGTCGCAAAGAAGCTTAAACACAGAGACGTCTGAGTGGATGTGTCCAGCAGCACAGACTATTGCATGATGCAAGTGAGAGCAAACAGCTTCCAGAGATTCCTGATGGAAGAGATGAGAGAATAGGAATGTTGTTTAAATGTTTATTAAAAAAATGGGAAGAGCTGAATGCTAACATATTGTTTACCTTTGCACCATGCATCATTCCATCAGGACTTGCTTCTTTAATCTTTGAGGCATTTCTGGGAAATAGTTACACATGTGCTTTAAAAGTTGCCTCAATGTGTAAAAAATTAACACAGCAAAAAGAAGAACATACAGGTATAAAAATGCATAAGTTAATGTTATACCTTCTGCTCCATATTAGGGTAAGACAAAGCTTTTATAACCATGTTATGTATGATTTACAGAAAGAGAGGAGTTACCTGCAACTTATCAGCTTTGACTTGCAACTGTGGGATGGCAAATGTTTGTTTAGTTGCATGCCTTATGTACCAAGACTGAAATAAAACATTGATGAGATATGATGTAAGAATAAAGATTTTGAGTGACCTTTCCAGTTCAGGGATGAGTTTCTCTGTAACGCTGTCTGCAAGGTGAGCTGTGGTCTGCTGCTTCCACTCATCCATACTCATCTGAAGTTGCCTCAGCTCCTGATCTTTGGCCTTCAGCTCCCTGTGGAGAGATGCTGCTGCTTCTCCCTCAGTCCAATGAGCATATTTCAGACGGCACAACTCCTCAGTGTGCTCCTTCATACATGTTGGACAAAAGGCATCTCAGCAAGTGTATAAAATTAGTTATGTATGTAATACAATGCGCCAAAAGTCCATACCTGAGTAAGACGTGTCCAGAGTGAATTCAAAGCTTCATCTTTCTCTTTATCCAGTTGTTGCCTCTGAATGCTTAGTTCTTGCACCTGAAAAATTATCAACACAGAAATATTTACATACTGTGCCTACTCAGAAATAGTAATTCCTCTTCTACTTTTTCAAAAATGTTCATGTTTCAACCCATGCATAACTGAAGTAGAATAATAATTATTCTCATTTTTGAAAAGAAAAAAGCAAAATAGTTTAGCTAGGGGAAAACATCTGAAAAGTGTGGAATGCCTTTGTATTTACCCACTTTTACTCATTAATATGAGAGTTAGCCATCAGAAGAGAGAGCAGGTACACCTGCAAGCCCTATTAGGAATACATAACCATGTGAGGGAGGCTGCACTGGTCAGATAAAATGAAAACCTTCTGAACCAGCATGCAAGATGTGTGACTAGAAAAACACTGCATGACACCCTGGCCACAACAACAGCACTGTGACACATAGTGGTGGCAGAATCATGTTGTGGGGATGATTTTTAGAGTTGGAAACATGGAAGATAATCAAAGCTGATGGGTGGAGCCAAATACAGAGCAAACCTGGAAGAAATGTTGTTACAAGCAGCAAATGTCCTGAGTAAGATTAAGTTTCTGTCCATCCTGTCTGACTGAGATAAAACTTTTTTGCAAACAAAAGCAGTAAAAAAAAAGGATCTTAAGATGTTTAAATAGGGTAAAGGCATAAGCAAAAACACAAACAAAGGTTCTTAGCATCTAATGGTGCAAGAAAAATGCTTTTGATCACAGCATGCTCAGGTGTTAGAACGGCCTAGTTAAAGTCCACACCTCAATCTAACTGAAACCTGGGATAAAATCTGAATGCTCACAAAAATTCTCCATCCAGACAATCTCTACTTCAGGCGCAAAGCTGGTGGAGACATACTTGGATAGAGTTGCAACTGAAATGGCAGACAGATCTTTAAGAATTTGTATTTCTATGATTTAAAAAAATCAATTTAAGCACAACTTCTTTGAGGATCTACAACAAATAATCTAAATAAAATCAAACAAAGAACAGTTGGGTGATTGTTTCTGCCGAGCACGAGGTTTAGAAATCATTGGCTCCTACCATCAGTGCATCAGCTTTCCTCTGTGCCTCCACCAGCTCCTTGTAGTGCTGCCTTTCAAGGTGCTGCAGCTCCATCTTCAGGCTGTCCTTCTCTGCCTGTACAGAGTTACGCTCCTCCAGTAAACTCATTAGCTGCAGCTCCCTCTGTGCCAACATTTTTTCCAGTGTTCCCACCCTGATGCGACATTCTACCAGCTCATGTTGTTGCTTGCTCACTTGAACATCAAAGGCCTAAAAGTGAGAAACACAGCAAAGAAGGAACATATCTGATGTAAAAATGAGGGATATAAAAACTTTCAAACTAATATTTCTAGTGAATAATATAAGAATACTGCATAAAACTGAATTCGAAAAACTAAAAATTGGCCCCAATTGTATTTTTCAAGCTATGTATAAAACCAGGGTTAGTAAAACTCTTCTGCTGCTTTTAGATTTAAGCCTAATTTAATGGACTGAGATCATGAAGGAGACTGTGGCTTGTTTAGTCAAAATCAATTTCCAAAGTATTTACAATATTTTTTTGGTATCAAACGAAAACCAGATATAAAAGCACAACCAAAATGTAAACAGTTGTTTTTAAACAAAACATTTGATTAAATCCTAAGTTTGAGGGCATTAGGAACACAGCAGCACTTTCTTCTTTTATCTATATTATGCACAGGATTTGACTTTAGTCGTGAAAGAAGGTGTAACCTCCTCAGCCTGATGCTTTTCTCCATCTGTTTTTGCAGACATGCACATCTGTTAAGCAGTGGGCTCCCTGCCTCTGTGGCCCTGTGAGGCTCCTCCTGAACCGCCTCCAGCTGCTGCTCCAAGGATAGTCATTAATTCTCTCCAAATATTTTTAATACAAAGTATATACAGGATCTCTGCACTAAAATAAATAGAATGTTTCTATAAATTGTTTACTAAGATCAACATTTGTTAGCAGAACACTAACTATTCGTTTATATATCGTTGTTTTGCAAAAAAAAAAATGCTGAAGATAAAACTGTTATTTTAATGTGTGTAAAATCTGTTTCCTGACTCTTTTTGTTATTCAGTCATCTGGGCAGACATTCCAGTTAATCCCAAAGATATAGACACATCTTTGACTTTTTTTCTGCCCTGTCATGTTAGACAGAGATTGTCCTTTTCTCTTATAAATAAATACATTAAGCTCAGTTAGACTGAGAATTTATTGGCAGACTTGAAAACTGATGCTAACTGACCCTTTTTTTACTCTGTCTAGACTACAAATGCGTAACTTAAAGAAATAGGCCTGGATTTAAACAATTATGTCTGCTCTGGGTGTAAGTTTGTACTGCTGGAAGATGAACCTTTTACCCAGTTGCAAGTGTTTTGCAGCCTCTATCTCATCAACTCTGACCAGCTTCCCTGTCTAGACTGAAGAAAAGCAACACAACAGCATGATGCTGCCACCACCTTATTTCACAGACTGAATGTTGGATTTAAGCTGCTTGAATCAGACCAGATTCCTGCTAGCTTTCACATGTTGTTTATTCCTCCACATGACTAGAAATAATTTCATTTGAATGTTTTTCTTCTCACCATTCTTCCATAAAGACTAATAGCCACCCTGTCACCAGGATCTCATTAGAGAGCTGTGGATCTCTGCTGCTCCTGCTCTGCTTCTGCTCCTTTCTAACCTAATCCTGTGTTAACCTTCCCCACAGCGTTCTCCCTGAACCGTCTGGTGTGTTAGTTGGTCTTCATGATTCTCTTAGCTCACTAACAACAGGTGTTTCTACACTGAGATCAAATTGAACACAGATGGTTCCTTCCTGTTATTTAGATAACTTCTTTCTGTTGCTTATATTGCATCTCCAAAATAAATTAGATCTACAGGAATGATTAAAGGGTATATAAAAACAAATAAAATTTAGGGGCATCAGTGTTAATGCCAACCTAACAGGGTGGCATTTTTAAAATATTTTTTCAAACAGCGTGTTTGTTGTCTTCTACTAATTGATGATGTATTAATCCTGAGTAATTCAGCTACAGGAATTCCAATAGAATACATTGGAGTTTAAATGTGAAAAAGGTCAAATTGTAGCATTTTTTTTTACATCTTGATGTCAGTTTCAGGGTTCTGTGCAGATTTGCACTGGATGTAACTTTTGCTCCTAAGTTAGTCAAAACCTCCTCCTGCTAAACTGTTATTCCATTATAGCATAAGTTGAGTTAGAATAATAAACTCATGATCTAATTGTAATCTCATTTATTTCTGCGTCACACAAGTTCTGAAGCTCTACCTCTTGCAAGGACTCAATTTTCTTTCTCGAATGTCGCAGCGCAGAGAACAGTTCTTTCTTGGTACAGTCCAGCTGTGGATCCAGCTCCTCGCGCTCCATCATTGACATTTCAACACAGCTCTGTTTGAGAAACAGGGCAGAACCAAAAATAAAAAGTCTAAGACATGCAAAACTAATAAAATTATCAACAAAGGCATGTTTTTAGTACCCTTTTGCAGCGGCACCCATTTTTCAGACATGACTATCTCCCTCTGCAGCTGCTGCAGCTGGTACCTATACATAGCATCGTCTTACTGTTTGACAAACCACAGCATTAATGTGTTGGAGCATATTTAAAATTGTGACTAACAGAATATTTCTCTGAACTGCTGTGCCTCAAAGCAAACTCCAACATTGTGTTCTCCTTCTGAAACTGGACAGTGCCTGCAGATGGCTGCTCTAACTGCTTAATGGCCTGCTAGGTCATAAATGATATACAGTACTGGGGAGTGAGACTTCTGCTTAATAAAATACCTTTTTTTTGTCAGATTTTAGAGACAGTGCTCAACATTTTTAAGCTGAATCCATTTAAATCTACGTTTCTTTTCCTCTTTTTCACATTCCTTAACCAAAACAAAACAGAAAAAGCAGCACAATTCAAGGTACAGGGGATTTTTCTATAATTACTATTCTTACATGTTCAAGGTCAAAGACGTCCTCTTTCATGTTGGTGCAATCTGACAGCCGCCTCTCTGATAACCTCACAGGAGTGGATGTCTTGATATTATTACTGGCTGTTAGAGGAGACACAAAGACTTTTTCTATCCATCCGTAATGGAAACCTCTCCCTTTGTCATAACAAAACAAGCCATTCATCTTTTTTCTGATCAATTTCTGCATTTACCTGCTGTAGCCTGATTTTCCCTTTCTTCTCCTGCTGCTGTGTCATTGTCACTGTAGTTAATAGAGCCGTCGTTTGGATCGTCTAACTCTTTAATGAAGGAGCAATATCCTTGTGATAGAGTGAAAAGAAAGTGCACAGAAAGTTCATTACATTTGAATTATATTCAAAAATCTGTGTACTTGTTTTGTAATCTTTATTTTGCAGGTTTGCATTCAGTATTTAATTTCCTATGTGAGTCCACATTGGTTCCTGCAGCAACTACTGTACCTGTCCACTTGACCTGCTTCCTTTCTTCTAAGCTGTCTGAATCAAGTTGGCTGTCAGCTGACATGTTGTCAAAACTCCAAGCTGCAACTCCTGGAAAAAACAAACAAAAAAAACCCACAGAAACAAAGTTGGTTTCATAAACAGAGAGAGAACCAGATGTATAGCATGCTATCAGTAGCTTCACCAGTCTTTTACAATATCACAGCACAAGTAAAACTAAAATAAAAGTCTCTCAGGCTCGTCAATAAGCCCTCATGCAGAGATCAAGAAAAAAAACAACTGTATTTTAGATTTTTTTTTATTCAGTGAAAGCAGAGGCTTAAATAGTGATGAGAACAGAATATAAAGCCCTATTCAAAGAGAAAAGATCTGACTGAAACTGGCTAATATGAAGGTAAAAATTACCTTCATTTATAAATTTCTGCCTAAATTCACACAATGTAATGAGACGGTTCATACATAGAAAATATAGACAGCAATGCTCTCAATTTTGGCGTTTTAACCAACACACAACTGGGTCTTTGGCAGATTTTACTGTTTTAGTATTTATTCTTAAATCCGTTTTTTAACATACAAAACTTCTTTATATTGATATTAATTTAAAATAATGCCATAAATTACCAAATAAACAGGAGCCCAAAATGGACATTTGTAGAAAAACTAAGTGTATCTGCAACTCATAGACAGATGCAAAATAATTAAATATTGTCTTATTTTTTACAAGGCAGTGTATATGTTAAATTTACATGAGTGATACAAGAGAGAGACGTTTTCTTATATCAGGCTTTTTTAAAACAAACTTCATCAAGCAAGTAGGGTCATCTTCAAAAAGAATAAACTAAAAAAAAAGAAAACAGAAGTGTTTGAGCAGCTCTAAAGAATCTAATTTGGCCCAGAAACATGCCAAGAGACAGACATGGACAAATATCTGTCCAGGTGAAGGTTTTTTAGGTTTAATTTACTCCACCTGAGAAAACTAAGAAGATGCATGAGGATATCTTGTTGCCAACTTGTACATACCACTGCCGAACTCTCCAGGTCTCTGTGGCGTCTCGTTTCTCTCTCCAGCTGCTGCTCTCTTGTTATCTTGTGACATATTTTCTCGGTACCTTCCAAGAAGAGACGTTCTCTCTTCCTTTCTCAGACAGGATTTATCTGACTGAAAACCATGAGCCATCATCCCGTCAATTGTTTCTGACCATCTTCTCTCAGGACTTGGACGGTTTTGATTGCTTTGAAGAGTGTCACTGTCAGGGATTTTTGCCTTCTCTATCTTTTCCTCTCGGTTTAGTCGATCCATATTTTCAAATTGAGACAGGTCTATCATCTCCTCTTTGAAGCATTTTACAAAGTCCTCCGTGGAGATACGGTCTGGAAGAGGTTGTGTCTCTTTCTTACAAACCTCTCTAGGAAGTCTCTCGAGCCTCCAGTTGACCTGATCCCAATAAGTTTCCTCTTTGCCCTCAAGGATTTTTTCCAGACTTCTTTTGCTTTCCTTATGATTGAATAAATTATCCCAGGAGCTCTGTGTATTTTCTAAGAAAGGGAGAAGGAAATTATCACTACAAACCTTAATTTAGATTTTATGAATTTTGTATTTTTTGTATTTTATATGTGGTGGATGAAAAATAAGTTATGATATCTTTCTTTCACAAACATTTGAAAAGTATGATTTTATGTATTATTTCATATGTTTTTTTTTTATTTTTTATTTTTTTATATGATAACAGTGGGACAGACCAAATAGCCTTCGACAACTCATTACTAATTAATCTC